CAAAAGACGGTGCAAATACAATCAATGTCTGTCCTAAAAGGCATCCAGATTATTTTGGGCATGGTGACTGTAAAGTGAATGTGCATGGATCAGGTGAATGTATACCAGGGGTAAGGTGTGCCTAGAGGAATGCAGACTCAAGCCATTCAAAGTATAACTGGAAAGTCCTACAAGTGAGGAATGGTCAAATAATGGGTATCTTTCTTACTTATAGTGCAGCACAGGGAAGCGAAGTGATGCAGAAAAAGAAAACTGGACCACTTTTCTTGTACTGTGTAATTCAGAGTATGCTTTTTGACCTTTCATTCCATTTGTAAACTGATAAGGGTGCATTATTGATGGTGCCAATTTATAATCAAGGAAGCAGCCATGAACCAAAACTTGTTCAAGTTGGGCAATGCAACCCTTATTCAGAAATAAGTCACAATGTGTTCAGTGGAGTTTACTATCTAGGATCTGTGACTAAAATTGTAAGTCTTACAATGCAAACTTATGCAAGCTTAGACAAAACCCACCCCCAATACTGACAATTGTAGGGCTTTTTTCTGTCTAAATGTGCACTGGATTGTAGTAAGAACTGTGCACTTATTCTGCTCATCTTGCACTTAAGGAATGTGCCCTTAAAATTATTAATTTCACTTCTTTTTTCATTTCAGATCTTGTGAATAAATAGATGAACATACCTTGCCAATAAAAACTTCCAGGTCCTCCTACTATGAGGTCCCCATTCTGTATACATGACAGACAAGAGTGACATTAAGTTAGGATTAATCATATATTCAGAGACCAAAAGCAAAGATCTGAAAAGAGATCAAAAACTGTACTTGAACCTGGGAGGAAAGTACAAGACAAAGGATGTGGTTTGGGTGTCACTGAAGTAGGTGCAATTGGCCAAAGTTTGTCACTGAATAGAATCTTCATTTAAGGGTGCAATTCTACACAAGTTTATGCTGAAAGCTGTATACTTTTATCTATTTAAACTTGCATAGCATTGTGTTTTAAGGTGCTTACGGGGAGCCAAGTCTTAGTATTATTATATAATGATGTTCTCATTTCAACCATGTACATATCTGATGGGGGCTCAAGCAACAGAACAATTTGTCAGCCAAAACAATAATAAAAACAGAGACTGGTTACATGTATACCACTCCAGGGGAGTGATCCTATGTCCTCCGAACATTGTCTTGGGGGTCACAGCATTCTTTGAGGCCCCAGCACTGAGCGCCTCCAACATCAGTACCTGGTCTCCAGCAGGCGAGCGAGCCCTGTCCTGCTCCCCATGCCTGCTGCCTCCTTGAGAGGAAAGAGAGGCATGTTAGGCACAGGGAGGGAAGGAGGGTGGGGCTGTCTTCCTATGTCGATTCCTTTCCTGCTACTATATGCAGAAGATCAGTGGCCTGCAAAATTAAATGCATGGCACCAGGTGTGGTAGCAGCAGACATGGCTGATGCTGCACCTCACTCCATCCACTGGATGCACTCTGAGTTTGGAGGCTCATGATCTGCACCTAGGGTCAGGGTGACAGGGTTGTGTCCTAAATGAAGCCATCCCCTTTTTCATCTGCAGACGGTGGCACCGATAACTCCCACTTCCATCACATATTGCCAGGGAAGGAAGTCAAATATGAAGTCACTGAACATAAGTTTCAGTGGGGGATGCAGGGCTGCCCTGTTCAGATGCACCAACAGTTATGCACCTACACACTGCAGCTCCAACTATCCTCCAAATAAGAATTGCACTACATTGCAGATCACTGGTGGCAGCCAGTATCTCCAATCACTGAACCAGGATTTTATTTAAAACATGGAAAGCAGAGCTTGGGAAAGTGCTGCTTGCATAAGGCCCCCTAGGAATTACTTCATTTGCTGCTGGAATATATTAGCATTCACTTGACGAATGAATTGCCTATGAATTCTCCCATTTTATTAGGGTTATCAACCCATCACAGTATTTTCAAGTTATTAATCATCTGGCCTTTTATCAATTCCTTAGTTAAAACATGATTTCCATTCGATGGAATAAAGTAGCTGTACATTTCCCATTGTGTTATCTGAATTCCTACCTATGATTAGCTCAAGAAAAGGAGGAATTGTCAGCTTTTAAGAGTCTATGAATAAATTCAGATAGGTTTCAGATACTCAGTGCTATGCAGTAATTTAGAAAGAAGCATTCTGAGGGCCAATGGTGAACTGGAGATGAGTCTGGTAATGAAGATGAAAGTGGTTAGAAGGTATGGAGCCAAGCCAACCACTGTGGTCTCTCACCTTATAAAAATCTAAGCTGAATCCTGCTTGACAGTAACCTTGTCCCTCGGGATCTGGATTGTCTAGAGGTATCGAAGTGTGAACATTCAATTAGTGTCATAATATGGAGTGACAAAACATTACCTACAGCAAATGCACAGGGCTTTCCAAGAAGGAAGTGCTAATAGGGTGCACAATTTTTAAAAAAACACCAAAACAAAACCCTGACATCAAAACCAGCATGCGACTTTTTCCAGGGAAATTTGAACCCAAACAAGAAGTTCAAATTCAGAATCTGCTTTGGCAGATCCAAAGGTGTATTTGAGATATTACATTTGTTCTACCCCAGCTGACATCAGTTGGAATGAGAAAAATGACCTGGGATTGCATAGATGCAATAAACTTTCTCTGTACTCCAGTACAGGCTTTGTGAGTTCCTGTGTAAACCACTGCCTCCAGAATGTGACAAGACACCTTCACTTGTGCACTGAACAGTGACAGTCAGGAAACATATAAGAAGGTGTGGAGGAGTTGTTGAGTTCTCAGTTACTTTAACAGTTTCCTGCTCCGTGCTGCTGGCTCTCTTGCTCATGAAACAGCATGATTATCTTAGCACAGGTTCAACCTACAGGTTGCCTTTTGTACAAAGAATAGAGAGAGAGCTCCATTTGGAATGATCAGCTGCTTTTAAAAGTTGGCTTCTGCTTATCAAGATCTTTAGAGCCCTTTTAAATTAAGCCAGTACTGTCTTCACATGTCAGCATAATAGCACCAGCCTCATCTTTGTTCTTTTAATTAAATATAAAAGCCACCAAGTGGAAACATAAAATTTGATGTCTCTTTAACTCAGATCCACTTTGCAAGAAGCAGTCTCTCAGTAAGGGCCATTTAGCCAAAGCTACACCTGGGATGAATGCATGAGCGCACAGATTACAATCTCAGCAGGCCAAATTATGAAAAACAAAAAACTTACTGTTGCGACAAGGAGAAAACTCAGCGTAGGTGCTGAAATTCTGAACTGCTACATAGCAGGTGCCAACTGGATCCTTTTCAGGTGTGGCCTTCAGGGTCCTCCAGTGATATAAGGGAGCACATGCCTATCAAAATATGAGTTGCACATCATCACATAGTTTTGGATGGCATGCGTTTATGCATGTGTGTGTGTGAAAGTACCCCTCTCCCATTAAATAGCCGATATAACAATAAACCCATTCTTTTTATTCCAAATATAGCAATAAAGAGTAATGTTTCCTCTTATTATAATAATAATAATAATTATTATTATTATTAGAACATTTCTGTGCCGCCCCTTGCCGAAGCCTCGGGGCAGCTTACAAACACAATAAAATACAATAAAATACAAAAATAACAATATAAAATTAAAATTAACCATATAAAATAAATAAAAATATAAAATATCTCTTGCACTTAGCACAGAGAGGTGGGATTTTAACAGTCCCTGATTTTTCATGCATGGGGTCCAACTCATCTTCCATTAGGAACATAGGAGAAATGCAGGGGAAATCTTCCTGAGTTTGTAAAATACTCCTCTAATTAGAACATGCAATATTGAACTAGGA